CAACCACTCCTGCCAGTTTTGTGTTGTCTGCAAACTTGTTGAAGGTTCATTCTGACCCTTCATCTGGGTTACCAGTGAAGGTGTTGAACTGTTGGCTCCACTATTGACACCTGGGGTATGCCACTGGTGGCTGGGTTCAAGCAGGACTTTACGCCACTGATTCCAACCATCTGAGCCCAGCAGTTCAGTCAATTTTCAGACCATTTTACTGTCTACTTATTTAGTCTGTACTTACCAGTTTGCCTACGAGAATGATTTGAGAGATGATGTTGTAAACCTTGCTAAATTCAAGATAAACATTATCTATTACTGTCGTCCACTGAGTCAATCATTTCAGTGCGGAAGGTTATCAGGTTGGTTAAGCACAACTTCCTCCTTTGTAAATTCATGCTGACTACTCCTGATGACGTTCTTTTCCTTCATGTGTTTGGAAGTGGTTTCCAGGATTATTTGCTCTGTCACCTTCTCTGGGATCAGTGTGAGACTTACCAGTCTGTAGTCCTCTGGATCCCCCTCCTTGAAGATAAGAGTGATATTTGCTTTCTTGCAGTGTTTAGGCACCTCTGCCTGGTTCTCCATGACTTTGAAAGGTAATTGAGAGTGGCCTTGCAGTGACATTAGCCAGCTCCCTCAGCACTCATGGGCACATTCCACCAAGGCCCATAGTCTTGTGTAGGTCACTTATGCAAGTATTGCCTAACCTGGTCTTCCTTCACCTTCCTTGATTTAGACTCTTCCTCTGATCTCATCTCATGCCAATGAAATGGCAGCTGCATAACTACATACAGACAGAGTCACAGAGTGATTGAGATTGGAAGGGACCTCTAGAGATCATCTAGTCCAACCCCCTGCTCCAGCAGGGACACCCAGAGCACGGGGCACAGGGTGGCATCTAGGTGGGTTTTGAAGATATCCAGAGAGGGAGACTCCACAGCCTCCCTGGGCAGCCTGTTCCAAGACTCTGTCACCCTCACAGGAAAGAAGTTCTTCCTTCCTGCTGCCTGTCTTGCTTGTTTTGTTAATCTCGCTTTTAATTCCATTCTCCTCCTCTTTCCATATGTTGTTTCCTCACAAGTGAAACTGCAATGACCGACTGAGCCCTTGAGACTGTGGCCCTCCACAGCTCAAATACCTGACTTCTAACTTGTCCTGTTTGTTCGTTAGGTTGTGTGCATTAATATACTGATATTTCAGAGAGGCTTGATTTCTGAGAAGGGCAAGGAAAGCCTTCTCCATAATGCAGTCCTGTAGGCACTTCCTTATTTGTGTGCACACATTTGTAGTTATTCCACTTGTCTCTTTTTTTCATTGGTTAGGATGTCCTTTTGTACATGTCAGCCTGCACTGTTTATTCACCAGCTTTGTCCAACACTTCCTCACTTGATTCCTGGTCATTCTCTTCCTCCCCATCATGTATAATTCAAAACACTTTATACCATATTGGCCAGCCTGTGGGCAAGGATACTTCTGTTCTATCTTGTCAGGTGGATCCCATCTCTTACCTTCCCCCACAGTCCTCAGACAGGGTCTCATAATCATAAAAGCCAAAACTGTGTTTCTGTCAAGAGCTGTGCAAAGAGATTTTAATCCACAGGGTCCATACAGTCTTCCTCAAGCCCTTCCCACTTACTGGCAGAATCAAGGAGAAAATTATCTGGAACTCAGTGCCCTTAACTGTTACTTCCAGAGCCATGTAGTCACACTTCCTACTTTCTAGATCTGAGAGTACTGTTGGCCTCCATGTGGAGGAGCAGGGCTCTTCCACAGCAAGTAAATATTGTCACTGACACTGGGCATCTGTTGGCAGTCTCAGCAAAGTTCCTGAGCATAAGCACCCAGCAAGTAGCAGACCTGGCAGATGGGAGTCTCCCTCTCTTGTCACTTGCTACTTCCTCCTGGTTCTCCTCTGTGGCTCAGAGGGCACAGATGCTCCATTTGATGGTGTTCCCAATTCCTCATTAGCTATGAGGGCGCTGAATCTGTTCTCTAGTTGTGTTTTTAGGTGGAGCTTGTGCTAGAAGCTTCCAGCTTTTATTATCGTGGGAATTTCTACTTTCCAACCTGATAAGACACTGAGTCACCTGCCCCTCTGCTATTTATGGCGATTTGGAGTCTTGGAATCCAGAGTCACAATAGACTCTTTCTTAAATAGGAGACTATCATGCCAAATGTGATTCTCTCTATAGCATTTGAAGTCTGGTTTATTGTGACTATACTTCTAAGAACTCTGTCAGGAAGACCTCTTAAACTAGCAAAGCCTGTGGAGTCTCTTAGTGTTGAATGTGCTCACACTGTCAGGGTTGCTGCTGCCTGGCTGTTGTTCTAGCCGCTGACTATGCTGAGGTTTGTAGCAGGGTTTGTTTTCTATTTAGAAGCCTTCAGAATTTCTTCATCTAAGGCCTTTTAGGAAAAGGGCAGTAACTTGGCACTTCAGTAACTTCTTGTGATTTGTGCTGTTTAACTTGCATATAAAGAGACCTTTCAAGTTAAAACACAGTTAAGATCTCTGAAGAGAATTGACATACTAAAAAATCAAATTTAAAGTCTAGAGGAAAGAAAAAGTTGTTTTAAAATACTAATTTTTATCTGCTGAATGTATGAATTGTCCCCATAAAATTTATTACTCATTGATGTTGTGGTACAATAGGGCCTTAGATCTCAAAGGTGAGCAAAGGCTTTTTGTATTACTAGGGCAGGACTGCTTTGATAAACTGCTTTTAGACAGACAAAAGAGATGCAATCTTAAATCAGCGTTAATGTATGACTGACTGGGAATGATATCATCTAAGGATTATTGCTTTCCTCTGTTTCTGCGGTGTTTACCGATGAATACTCAGGAATGTCGCACTGAAACAAATAGGTCTTGATAAATTAGGCAATCTTGACTCGGGCTATTGTTTGCCATAATTGATGATCTTCCAGTGGTGTAATGGGGCTGTAGTGTAAACTGCAGCACGCCCGAGAGCAGACAAATTGGTCTAGTATTGTTTGGAAAGGTACCTAGTGCATCTTGCAATATGGGAATCAGTGGCCTTTGCTGCAGCATCTATCCTAGTGAAAGATGGGTTCGATCCGGAATAACCTGCAGTTAAATTTACAGCAATTATACGTTTTCCTGTATTAATAAAATTGTTGCAATGCAAGGCTGATTTATTTTCCCTTACTCCTTTTCCTAAAGTTTCTTTAATCTCTCTGAGTTTACAGGATAATCATATGGTTCCCTTTGTTCTTTTTGCATTAACCCAACTTCAGAACTATTCCGATGACTTCTCTGACTTTAACTTTTGATGTACTTAAAAAAAGCCTTTATTCCCCAAAATGAAAGGCTTTTGGCACGCATCGGCTAAGATAAAAGGCATTTCCTTAAATCCATGTTTAATTCTTCCAGAGTACGAAGGGAGAATGAGGTAAATCTTGCCCTGAAAATGAAATCTGCCCTGTTTAAATGATTCCCTTTCTAAAACCTGACTGCAGACTTTTAGGTGTGGAGTGGGAGTTAGTTTAGCTGTAGAGCATTGTTTATGTGTTTAAAGACATGTCTGGTGAAAGGTCCTAGCAACAGTACAAGCTGGGCATTGTGCCGGCAGAGTTAGATGTTTGAGGGTATGTTTTATTTCTCCCGTGAATCCTTTAAGACTTTAGTTTTAACTTAGGTAAATCTTATGGGAGAAGTATCTAAAATAAACAGCTTGATTTATGCATTATAGTGGATTAAACTCATTTGCAAATATGTTGTTGCCAAGAACAGTTTCTTCCCCAAGGCAATTAGCTATATGACCTGACCCCAGAAGGTTGCTATCAGGAAAACAAGAAGCACAATAACTATTTTTTTTCCTGGAAGGGAGCTCCCAGGAACAGGCCTACCTTTCTGGTAGACAAGAAAGCTAATTTATCCCAGGCATTTTTTTTTTTCTAGGACTAGATAAAGTAGTGCTTCCTAGAGCAATGGATGGTTTTACTGGATTATAGGCTGCAACTTCCTCTGCAGCATTTTTGCCAAGAATCCTGTGTCTTTGTCCGTGACTTAACTGCTACCAGACCAAAACTCTTCCTAGTGGAGAGCAATGAGTAGTCTGCTCAACCAAAGGCTTTTGTTTTGAATCAGTTATTGATCATTGTAACACTGAAAAAGAGAGGAGCTTGTATGGGGTAAGAGTAAAAAGCCATCATTAACTTGGCAGGTTTTTTTTTCTCCCCTTTCTCTCTGCTGAGAGGTGAATAGGCGCTCGGTTCATATGGCAGGGGTGTCCCTAGCCAAATGAAAGCAGTTGGGAGAAATCTTGTGACGAGGAAGTATTGTGGGGCAATGCCTTTGTCTTAGTTTTCTTTCCATTGTTACAAAGTGGTAGTTAAAATCACTTGCTTAGCCTACAGGGGCCTTCCTTCAATAGTCTTATGTCATTTTTACTACTTAAGCCATGTGTGCCTCTAAACTGAACACAGAAGTAGAAAAACACTTTTTTCCACAAAAAAAAAAAAGGCCTTTCCATGCAAATCTGCATCTGTTTGAAATACTGCATGAGAAAGAAGCCCTGAGGGAAAAGAGAGGCTGGAAAGGGTAAAAGGAGGAAGAAAGGAGGAAGTGGTAGAGTAACTTAAGCGTTGAAGGCTACTGCTGCGTAGGTGGTTGTCACCTTAGCTAGCTCCCATATTACTACATTTTCTTTCCATAATGGAAAATGCAGCCTTGGTTGATGAGTGCCAGTCCTCAAAGAGTTAGGGCCTGTGTGTTAGTAAAAACTCTCTCTCCTGCCTGGGACAGGCAACAGAACAGCAACCCTTCCACCTGAGACTAGCTGTCTTGGGCCATTCAGCAGCGTATCAAATGAATGTGTTTTCCTGGCTGCAGATGGCAAACTTGCAGATCTGCTACTCTAAGTCAATGCAAATGCTTGTCACCTCATCTTGCTCCTCTTAGCCTTCCCTCTGCAACTGTTTTCAATAATAAGTTGATGAAATGTCTTCAGTACGAGTTCTGACAGTCTCTTTGTCCTCTGCAGGTCGTGTGAAGCAGCAGACGTAATTTGAAGAAAATTTGAAGGAACAAATGGCTTTAGCTGGCTGCCCAGACTCCTTTTTACATCTTCCCTATCGGATAGTAAGTAATGCAACTGCATGTTCATCTCAGATGGTAGCGTCGTGTTGCTATGTGCCAGCGACTGATTGTGAATTTCAGATTTTCATCAAAGTCCAGCTACTCTCTGGGTTTTACCAACTTTTGGTAACAGAACCTATAATCCTGTAATCAAGACTTACTACTGGAAAAAAAGAAAAAAGAAAGAAAAAGAAAGAAAGAAAGAAAAAAAGAATTGATAGGATATATTGCCTAAGATTTAATACCTTTTCCTAGATAAGGCAGTTCATAATTGGAATAAAGCGCTTCATTCCCCAGGGAAAATGGTAAGCTGCAGTACCAGTGAAATGCCTTGCACCAGAAAGTACTGTGTTTGCTGAATATTACACTTGTAGGAAGAAAGGCAGATTATATGTTTGTTTAGTCGTTATCTTGTATCTAAGCAGCCAATATGGCACACTGTAAAGAATATATATTGGAAAAAAAGAAGCGGGGGGGAAAAAAAAGCTCAATTCAGTTCAATGATTCTAGACAAAAAACACACATAGTTTTTCTTTTTCCAGGCAATTGTGGTTGGCATACTGCATGCATTTTTTTTTTTTTTAATGGAATTGCAAGTCTGCTATTTCAGGCTTGACCTGCTTTTTGCCCTCTCCTTCCTTTTCTTGCCCGCTCCGTTGTTTTCATGCAGTGCCTACCACCATAAGGATTCAGTTATGATTTTGGGCCCAGCAGATGCACAAATGATTAAATAGAGAACCATATGACATTTAAACCTTTTTTTTTCCCTTTGTCTCAAGAGAAACATTGCCGGCGGTGATTACTACAGTCAAGCTACTCACTTAAAAAGAGGAAAAATCCTCAATAGGATACTTTTATTTCATAATACATGAACTTTAAACTTTTTTTTTTCCCCACCAACAGGAAACCTCACGTTAGTTAAGACTAACTTTACTATGTGCTGTTGTCAGTTGAATTCACTCTAATGTTTTTCCTGATAATAGAAAGAAATGAAGCAGTTCTATTCTAATTGTTTTTCCAGTTGCAAAGATTGAATGGACTTTGAGAAATTGGGTGTTGTAAAAATCTATATTATTGTACCTAGGTCTGTGCTTTTGAAAGGATATGTGAACTGATGTGTCTGAATTTCATAATTTTGGTTGCGCTGTGAATTGCACCAGTTCATTTGGAGTATCATCTGAGTCATGCCAGGAAGCTGAAGGAATGGAGATCTATAGTAGAGAAATCTTAAATTGTAGACAGTCATTCTGAACCGCAAGTTCTTTACCAAATATGAAACTTTCTCATGAAAATAGTATCTCTACTGCCCCAGTTCAGCCGCTATGAGGTACATCAAAGATTTGTCAGGCTGCTTTCCAGCCATGCACTTAGGCTTTTCTTGCTAACTAGGAGAGTTAGAAACAAAAGTGAAATTGGAGATTCGAATGTGGTCATGAGAATTTTGAAACCAAAGTACTAAGAAGGCACTCTTCAGTCCCCCAAAATTTGTTTACGTTTTCTCCAAGTCCAAGAGCATTCATAGCTTCGGAGACAGGAATCTCTCCATCACAGTTTGCTCTTGCCCATGTCTGTATCTCAGCTGGTTGGATCCTGCACGCTTGTCAAAGCAACGTGCATGGCTTAAAATGCTGGGAAGGTGAGTTCCCACTGATATTTGTGGTCATAGCTTACTGCATGTTAACTATCCTAAGTGCTTGTAACAGGTTTAAAGACTAGCTTTCGAAGCCCATTCACAACCACTTTGCTTTCTGTCACAAGTTAAGTTTGCATTACAAAAACTGAACATCTGTTTTTCCACCCCTACTAAATCTGACTTAGAAGCTTTCATCAGCTTGTCTTTCAAATTTGGCTGCAGCGCCAGCATTGTGTTGGTAAAGGGCTAAAAGAAGGTTAAACTAAATATGCTCTAGATTAGAGTGTGAACAAGTATTCTTATTCTCTTTTTTTCAGTACATTTTCTGACTTGACGTGAATGGAAGTCTGTACAGAACATTCTTCCAGAGTTGAGATTTTAATGCTGCGGCTTTGATGTTTGGTTTAAATCGACACATTTCAATTTGAGATTACATTCAAAATACTGACAGCAAGAGAAGTGAGGCCCTGCAAAAATGTAGCTGTGCTACAGAGCATCCTTTCAGATGGCCTCAGATAAGCCTCCTCTGCCCTTCTTTTTACCATTTTTGGGGAGAGGGGAAAGGCTAAAAGCCTCTGACAAACTTGCATGATGGGCTTTTTATGTGCAATGTATTTTTTTAATCTATCTCAGGCGTTTGCACGTAGACCAGTCACACTGAGTGCATTCTCCTGGAAACAATCTCTTGCTTTGTGGAAAAAATCAATACTACCTTTTAGTGGCTTTCAGGAGCCCTTTCCAAATTCTCAAACTCTTCAATAAAAATCCGGCAGTGAGAATTGGCAGTGTTTGTCTTCTGTTCCTGGAAATTCAGAACATAGTCCCAGAATTTCTCAGAAAAAAATGGGATGATTTACTGTGTTTCCGTTCTTTTGCAATCTGTAGTCACAACAGTATTTATGTGCAGCGACTTGAACTCTTAGGAAAGATTTAATTCTTTAACCCTTTGATGTATAAATTGTGCAAGTCTCAGTGACATCATAAATAACAGAATGGTTTTCTTAGTTTCTGAACATGAAAATCAGTTTGTGCAAGGATGATCCTTTCTGTTCATCTTCTCTTTCCCTTTCACCCCACTCCGTTTACTTTCCCATAGCCAAGTGGTGGGAATGACTGTTATATTAATTAAGCTCCACAGAGTTTGTTTTCACAGAGCACTTTTCTTATCAGCAAGAAGATTTGTTTGGGTCATGCTCAGCATCTAACATTTGCATGAAAGTGATGCTCACAAAATGGGGGAATTGTTTTCTCCTATATGTGCAGAACTGTATGTTCCAGGATTGCACATAGTCCTGTTGACCAAGTAAGAGAGTAGAGTTTTGCATATCAGACTTGAGAAGCTTTGTGCTCTTCAAGGGTAGAGAAATAAAGGCTTAGTAGGATTTATCCATTAGACACTAACTAGTGTGATATACTCCTCCCTTTTATTGTGAATGAGGAGAAAATTTAGTATCGTTAATATGATAGAAATTGTCACATGTCTTTGTCTTATGTTGGAAGAATGACAAGTTCTCCAGAGTATAGCATTTGGATTCTTGTTTTCCATAAAATTGTACAATATATAATCCTGGTCCATGGCATACTGTAGTTATATGTAGTGTCCCTTTGTGAGCATGTGGTTTTTGTGGGTGTGTTCTTTTGTCGTTGTTTTACTTTTGAGTAAAAGTAATGGATTTAGTATTTTTTTGTCTTTTGGAAGACTTTTTGATTTAGCAGAAAGATGTTCATATCTCTGATTTAAAGTTCGCTCTGTCATGGTGGTAGCTGGTAACCTCATTCTTATGAAATCCAGATGCTGCCTGTATGACTTGGTCCTATCATTGCCGCAAAAAATTCTTTGGAGATAGAACAATCTGATACTCGGTGTCAACATAGATGCACGTGCTGCTATATGAATAAATGTCTGAGTGCCAAAAGCTTCTTAGTGCTTCATAGCAAAACATCAAAGAAAACCCCAAGCCATAATTGCAGAATTTGTGTCCAAGTGGCGTGAAAACCTATGTGTGGGAGCGCTAATGAGACCTAGCCTGTGTGACACAACCTGAAAACTGAGCAGTTGTCAGCTATGGTCAACTATTCCTTATTGTCTTTAAAATTCAAAATAAACAGTGGCTGAGGTTATCCTCTTTAGGCTGAATTATGCGACATTGTTGCTTGTGTAGACTTCCTCCAGGAGCTGGGGTTTTTCTGCCTATCAGGGCTGTGTAGAACAACCCTAGGGCTCAAAGAGGCTTGCAAAGCCCTAGAGCAGAGCAGAAGAGGCTCGACTGAATTGCATCATTCCTCTACACATTGTATGAGGAGATGAAGCTGAAATGTTGCTACTGCCAAAGCAGAAAGTCATCAGATTTCTGAAATATGGTGTCAGTCAACAGCTATTTTGTTGATAATGCTCTTGTTTTAGCAGTTTGCATGTTTTAAGTGGTGTATGGGGTTGATGGACTGCAGCAGACATGAAGTAAAAGGCAGTGAGAACATTAGTAAATGTTTTTACAAGACATCTTGCCTCCAATATGAAGTTATGAAATCTGTCTCTCTGAGTGTAGCTTGCAAATGAATTTTACAGGTAGAATTGAGGCCACTCTGCAGATTTTGAAGAGCAACTGGAGGTGTATTTCTAGCTTGTATCTATTAAGAGAAGTACCCCGAAAGTTGGTGCTTGCGCTCATGTTAAAATAAAAATAAATACTCACAGTTTAAAGATGGTATTGGAAGTGTACATGGCTCCACTTTCACATGTGAACAGAGTGTTGTAAGGAAGCAAAAGGATGTACCTAAAGGATTATTATATAATGCAAAAATATTTGCTTCCCATAAAATTGTTTTATAGATGTAACTTTTTAGGTGGAAGTAGAGTTGGCAAAATATAAAGAGCATTTCTTGAATGTGAATAAGCAATTTTAATGTCTAGAACCACATTTTTCTCCACATATGATCTTTCAAAAGGGAAAATATTCTGAGCATTCTAGTGATGAGGCATCTTGGATACTCCTTTCCTCTGGATTTTGAACAGCAGCAAGCCAAAAATCTAGGTATTGCAAATCAAGTGAAGAAATTATGAGTAATGAAGCTGAACTTGGTGTTTTCTTGATGGTTTCGCACTCTTGCTTGACCGGCAGACTGACTCAGTCTTTCTTATCTCCTTGAATCCTTTTACAAGAGCATTCTCTAGGTTCATCCCTACATTTAGCTGCAGTTTGCATACACGTTCAGATTTGCCAAGTTTACCGCTTTTCGGAGGAGGTTCTTGGTCTTGATCTGCTTTGTCATTCTCCTGAAAAATCTGAGCAGTCGGTGCTGCTTGTGGAGCCAGGCACTTGGGGAAGTCAGGCAGGTACCATATGCGTTCACAGCTGAGGGCGGAGTTGAA